TTTCTTGTCATGGTTGGATTATAGCTCATCAAGTTATCTACAAAAATATTGTTTGCTTAGTGAAACTTAGGAAAGTTAGATTTTAAAAAATCAGAAAAGCCAATCAAATTTGGAATACGCTAGAAGCATCAGGTTTCAATATTGATTCGAACTTTTTTGATTTTATTCGTCACATGGATAGGCAAAACATGTTGCATGCTTTTAGAAGAAGATTATTTCACTATTGAGAATATCGATTTTTTTTCGCTAGGATAACAAAGTTGGAGACGGACCATTTTTTTTTCACTTGACTTAATTTATGGTGGGTGTGCATGGGATTAAAAGAAAGAATCACACACCCACCCACACCCAATACCCTTGGTGCTGATATGTGTCGGAAATTTCTCTTAACGTCGACCTACTTCAAAAACACTATGATAAACCGCAAGCAAAATCCCCACCACGCCTACAGCCGACACTATTTGATCGCTATATTTTTGCACTTCTTGTGTTGCTCTGTGGAACATTCTGTTTTAGTCTCTTCGTTTAGATTTCGTTCCTCTTGCTATCTGTGATCGAAGCAGTTCAAATAGGGTTCCCCTTTAATTCATATTGGATCTGAAGTGTATATAATTTTTACAAGAGGTAGAGAAGAAAAAGATGCAGCACATAGTTCTCGATTATGTATTGTTCAGCAATTTTGGATGTCACTGTGAGAAATTGTAATCAAAATCAATGCTTTTCGGCAGCATGGATTGCAAATTTCAACCAGCTTCTTGTTTGCACCATTCGACTATTTCATTTGTAATTGTACCATTCGTTATTACACAGTGTTGCGAGAAAATCTCCGAGACTCTGTCATCCTTATGCGGTTGACTAACAGCATAGATGTAGGTGGATTCTGTCTCTGAGGTATTTTCTTTAAATTCTTGATACATATAATCATTCTGTGCATCACCAATATATTTTGCATTTGCTTTCAACATGTTGATAAATTTTTGTCCTTTTTTGTAGATGTGTGATACTCCATATACTGCCAAATTCATCCAGATACTCTTTAGCTTCAGAAACACTATGTAGTGTTTTTGTATTATGACTATTATCATAATTTCGAAGTTGACCGCTCTTTTGATAACGTTCTGCTGCATCAAAATCATTTCGATTAATTGCAATTCGCATTCGGCTAGCCATTCTTGGACGTAACTAATTGTTGATTACGATAGATCTACAAATTTTTAAAAGTTAGTCAGATGAGAAGTAGAATTCATTTGAAAAGCAATGTAAACTATACGTTCTCGAAGAAAATATCAAAACAAAAATTTTAAAATAAGATAATATTTAATTTGTTTTTATTTTGGCAGTGCATGGAAAATGTCCTGATTAATAAAGAGGGATCGTTCTTGTGTATGTGTGTCTTGATCCAATTTAAGAAATTATTTTTGCTTCACTTTTTACCACGTCGTTGTAATACGTTTCCATGCGAATTATAGCCGTACATATCACCACCAACATCACTTGATATAGTGTTAGGTTGTGCAGTGTATAAATTTGCACTAAAAATTCTTACTACTTTCGTATGTGCCTCTAAACTTCGTGATGCATTTTCTTTTAGCCAAGAAATTGGTTTACGTTCCAATAAAGCAATACCGCTATAGGCATCTCTAACAAGAGTCATGTCTTGATACGAAGAACAAATCTCTATTCTGTCTGCATATTTATGAATAATAACCAAAATGTAATAGTCTCCACCGTGTGCATCGGTAAATGCATAATCACATGCAATTTCTGGATGTTCTCGTTGATCAAGCGCTCTCAGTAACATGGTAACAAATTCTTTATCATTTGATAACGCTGTAGTTCCCAAATGTCAGCAAGATCTTTAGTGTATTCTTTAGCATCTTCAATCGAGTGTAATGTTTTCACATTGTTCATTGCCGAATATTGTCATTTCGGTGACGATCTTGCCGCAATACGTGATGATTGTGAGTGAGAAATAACTTTTCCATTCATTAAGGAACCACATGAATGTGCCTCAGTCGACTGCTGAAGACCAATATGCTGCGAAACTGTGGCAAAGGTTCCGTCGCATTCGAAGTTCTGTTTATGTTCTACTGTCGGGTGACCAGATGATCGTACCACATCAGTATCATCTGCACCTATTACCGCAGCTGCGTTTACAGCTGATTGATCACTGTGATACGTCTTCTTGCTACTCATGACTGCTTGTGCAGATAATTAGAATCAATACGAACAGGCTGTACTTCTTTTTTTTACAATACTTTTTTTCGTTTACTTAGCGAAAGAAAATTTTCTGTTTTTGAAAATTTAAATGCACCTTTCTATTAGTATTCATCAAGTTTTTATACAAAAAGTTCTACAGAAGGTGGGTGGGTGGATGTGGATATGGGTGTGAATATGATTGTGGATGAAGAGATGGCCCACACCCACACCGCTAACATATTAATAGTGAGTAAAAATGAATAGAACCGATTTTGTTTAAAAATATTTTTCAGGGATTATATTGAACATTCAACCAAAAATTTACTAGATTTTTTTATGTGTAGAAGTCATTGAAAATATAAGAGACTTCTGTGTTATGATTATATTGATAAAAGCATGAATATATTTTGTTAAAAAGCAGCAATTAAGATGCTATAGATTATATCCTAT